GTGACCCTCAAAGGTCGGGCCTTTAGGCCCTGGTGTGTCCCTCCGGCCCTAAGTCGGGTCCGGTAGGACCCGTGTGACTCGAAGATGTAACAGTGTCAAAGTGAATGTAGTTCAGACTTCATTTTTCTGAAGTTGAAACTAGGAACTAAGAAAATTTCATAATAACATTCAGTAACTTCAGTCCGATCAGCTTCATCATTCATTTGGTTGATGTTCCAATGCTTTCACTCACGGTATCCTCTCAGTTTGTCATTAAGTTCATATTTATTTACTTGTAAAAAATTGTGCAAGTTGGTAGCTTCGTAATAACTATGTGAGTTGGTAACTGTTGAGGTTCTCCTTGTTTTTCAATCTAAACTGTGCTGCGATGCTCTTGATTGTTGTCGGCATGTGGACATGCCCACGCTGTTATTGTGGGTGCCACGCCTGGACACTGTGCCACCAAGCTCCAAATCTCCCCGACTGTGTTGTATTGTTTGCTGTTAAATGTGCAGGTTGGTGGGTGCTCGGTGGTTATTGTTTGCTGAATAGACCGAAGATGATGCAGTGGGGACATGTTCTTAAATATGACGACGAGAAGGGGGGAAAGGGGAGGGGGAGGGGTGGTGGAGAACATAAACGCATCGCTGTCTGAAAGAACAAATTTCTCAAATGTGATACTCATTCATTACCGTTTTACGGATCAGACTTCACATTCGTCCGAATGTGGCACACAGCATGGCAGGAAACAAAAAATGTGCAATGCATCCCGCATACATGCTCATTCGCGACGGGCACCGCTGCAAGCACCAGATCACAGCGCTTTGACTGGTGTCCGCATGGTGTGCAGCGTTGCACGGGCATCCGGAATCCATGCATCGCACACTGCATTGCTTCGCCTCTCAAGTCTGCTGATTTCTTAAGCATTCATCTGAGTTTGGCAAAAGCATTGATGGAGTGTAACTCTGGATTATTCTGAACAAGGATGACAACACGTTAACGTGCTGAAAATGAACAGGCCGCACAACATTAGAGAAGACAACATACAAACTACAAACTGGATATGAACTATTATGAAGTGTTGCAGCGTGTTTCTTTATGCTCTACAGGGTTGCACGTGTTTCTTTAGGCTCTAAAGGAGGAGCTCACCTGAAGAAAATAACAAAGAATCGAGTACCCAGCCATGCTCTCAACAAAGTTGCGCTGCACACGAACCAGACACCCACACAATAGACACCTCAGGAGTCTGCAAAGTTACGTTGTAATAAATGTGTGCGGACATTCATGCATGCAGAACAGCACAACAATTGGTGAAACCAACAGAAAAGAATGCACGCAGGATAGCTTTAACAAAAAACACAAGAAGTCTGTTCCACCACAAAAGGCAGAGTAGCTGTTACGAAAGACGTGAAAACTGAACCGTGCCCATGCTACAACATGCCCACATGGCCAATAACCTCACCCAGAATTACAGTCTGATTTGTACAGGTTCTTTTGATATGGAAAAAAAACTCGGAGCATTTCTCGATCTACGAGGGTCATCCTTGTTCAAAGACCATGCTAATCTTTTCCGTAGCATTCCAATTTTAACAGATGTCCCAATAGACAACCCCTCAGTACATAACTACTTCATACAAAATGAAAATTCCTTTGCCTCCATAGACGACTCAGGGAAACAGCGCACGGGTTCACCATTAGATTGACGCCTGCAACCACCAGGATTACTGCTTTGTTTTGGCTTCTTTCGTTTTTCTTCCTTAAGCAAGAACCCCAAGAAAGCACTGTTTTGTTTTCTGGGGAGAAACTGCTTTGTCAAAAGGCGGTGGTTCATTGTCATTGCAAACATCCTGTGTGGGAAACAAGAAAAAAGAAAGTTCTATCTACCTTTCGTCATTTGCTTTTCTTCTTTTTGATTCCGATGTGAGCATTGTTCTTCTATCACAATCCACAGAGAGAAAGAGAGAGAGAGATTTTTTCTGCTTTTCTAAACTTCATACAGAAATGTCTTTTCTGTTGGCCATAAGTAAGATTGAGCTTTTTCCTGAGCAGGAAAATGCTCAATCCCTTATGCCAGAC